CGGCGGGCGGGAGGGCCCTGAGGAGCCGGCGGGTCCGGCAGAGGGACCCAGCCTGGCCTGCGCCGGACCCGGCGCCTCAGCCGGGTGGGCTGCGGGCTCAATCGCGTTTTTCTGTAGAAAAAAAAAAAAGCCCGTTTTAAAAACCATCCCAGCCTGCTGCTGGGCCACGGCTTTCCCGCCTGCACACCGCCACGTACCACCCTGGTGGTTTTGGGGTAGGCGAAGCCATATTGCTGAGCTAATCTGAGGTTTGGTTTTTTGTTTTTTTTTTTAAAAAAAAAAAGATCAAAATAACACGTTGGGAGGCTGGCGGGGTGTGCGAGAAGCCATCTGTTTGTAGCTGTAAATCTTTGCCCGCTCCCGGCCAGGGCCTTCCCGCCTGCACACCGCCACGTACCACCCTGGTGGTTTTGGGGTAGGCGAAGCCATATTGCTGAGCTAATCTGAGGTTTGGTTTTTTGTTTTTTTTTTTAAAAAAAAAAAGATCAAAATAACACGTTGGGAGGCTGGCGGGGTGTGCGAGAAGCCATCTGTTTGTAGCTGTAAATCTTTGCCCGCTCCCGGCCAGGGCCAGCGGCTGGAAGCAGCTGCGGCTCCTGCGCTGGAGCTCCTCTGAAAGGCAGCCTGGTCTCGCGCCAAGGGCACGGGTGTCCCTTCCACGCCTAAGAACACCGTGGTAAGATCATTAGCAAACTGACCGCCTGCCTTCTGCCCTGAACACGCTCCACAAAGCCTCTCCTTTCCGCTACCGCCCGCTGCTATCGATGAACCGAACTCAGCTGTAGCACCCCCCTAATTTCCCTTCCTGGTCTACGGAAGCGAATGATTTCTTCTGTTATTGTACTGGGGCTCACAGCCGGCTATTAGGGTCGCAGCTGTGTTCTGGGGGAAGGTGTTCACGTTCGAAGGCTGGCCCTGGCCCCAAGCAGCCCAGGGTTTCAGTGGGAACCTGAAATATTAAGGAGGAGGATTTAAAATACAGAGGGAAAAGGAGATGAGGGAAATAATAAAAATGGGTATAAATTGGTGTTTTGTAGGAGGGAGTCTTAAGATGGGACTTGACGTCTGATGCACTGAAGCTGTCAAATTTAAGGTGTTTTCCCCAAACCTAAAGAATGACATGGAAAATACAATGAGAACAGGTACTGGGAGAGGAGTTAACAGAAGCTGGTTAAGAGCAGCCTGGAAAGCAAAATATTTTCG